TCGTCGTTGCCCCGACACCCTTGCTGTAGAGTTGGCCGTGCAGCCTGTTGTTTGGGCACGAGCATGGTCATATAGGTGGTGAGCTGTCGGGTGACACAGAGGAGTGCGCGAAAACTGCAAAGCTGGTGTAGAGGTCGTCGAGAGTGACACAACCCTAGCAGTAGCCATAGGTGGGTAGCAATTGGACGTTGTGCGACATGTCGTTCTGCTGCTGTTGGGGGAGGCTGAGATGACCGGTCTACTCTCCTCGCTGGAGCTCAAACCATCATTCCACTGATGGCCTCTGTACCGTCGCCTCTGAGCATTCTGTGCGTGGGAGAAGACGAACGCGTGAGAATGAGGCGAGACAATGCTCTAGTTTTTTTTTTGCATATTTACCTGGTGGACCCATTGGGTCGGGTCAACGTGGCTACAATCCAAGCATTTTCAAGTGACTCGTTGGTGGGTAAATGCTAACCATGCAAGCTTAGGACCTAAGAGGAAGAAACTTACATAGTTTTGGGACCCACAACTACTGTTTCAAAGTTATAGGACTAAACTGACACACCTTTGATAGTTTTAGGACTCAAAAGTGCAGTTTCAAAGTTATAGGACTAAACGGACACACCTCTGATAGTTTTAGGACCCAAAAGTGCAGTTTCAAAGTTATAGGACTAAACTGACACACCTCCGATAGTTTTAGGACTTATGATGCATTCTACTCTAACCAATATGTCCAAGGCCCTCGGCGAGAGCTCTATAATGCTTCTTTCTCATGCATAGCTGCCATCGACGGACGCCAACAAAGATGCACACAATTGTTATAACTCCAATAACTGGTCCAGTTATTACCTCTACTAGCAGGATCTTTGGTGTAGAAGGGGGCCTCTTCGGTGCAGGCCGCGGGTCCAAGGTTGAGTCAAATGACCAGGACATTATTTGGTGTAGCTCGACAGCCACACCGGTGGCACCCGAGAAGCCAATGGCCACCACACTATGCAAGAACTGCCTCAGGTCAACACTTGTGTTGACACGATATGTCGTGTCGGCGATCTGGAGAAAAGTCGCTAGCATTTTTGTGTCGTTGCCGTAGCTGATGTGGCAAGTCATTGGGAGGCCAGACGTTAGGTTCCTACGAGGCACGGTCGCGTTGGTGTACGCCCGTGAGACGATGGAGTTGACATCAATGCCCATGTGACTGCTACTCGTGTCGAAGCCATCGTTCAAGTATGTGTCGAACTCAACCGCCACGGCTCCATCATCGCGGCCGCGACCGTGCCGGGGGTTGTGTTGAAGAGGCTGAGGTTCCCATTGCCCATCTCGCGTTTGACATTGGGAATGCTCACCGGAGGATAATGCCCGAGGAAGAATGTCAAGCCATCGCCAGTGTTTGCATTGTTTACCTTGATTTGGAAGGTGAAGGAGGTTGTGAAGCGGGCGAGCTCGCCAGTGACATCCCACAGCGGCATGGGCGTCGCAAGGAAAGCTCGTCCCATGCTGTTCTTGATGCTTATACCATGGCCATTTCTTGTGAGTTGGATCATGTGAGACTGGTTGTCATAGTATGCGTCACCCTGGAAACTGAAGTCTTGGGCGTCATAGTCTGGATCAGAGAAGTTGGAGCTAAAAGAAAACACGGTAGCACGAGGCGGGTGCTGAGACCATATCGAGTAACAGAGGAGCATGACGATGTGTATTCGGTGGGAAAAGCTCATGGCAGCAGCCATTTGCTGCAGCGTGTTGTTTCGAAGCTCGTCAACAAGCTCACCATATACAACTTCAAATCTCGATGATGAAATGGCCCCTAGCAATGTCAACAGCCCCTGTTCAGCTTACCTTCGCTCCATAGCTCCACTCCTGGCACGGGTGGAGTCACGGTGAAAAAATGCGGAGCGGCTGTTTCGTGGCTCCACAGCTCCTGCTATTTTGTGGAGCAGGTGGGATTCCGAACAGGACCTTAATAAGCCAAATGATAACCTTTCTGCTCAATCTCCTGTATATAGGTGAGAAAAATTATGTGACATCTATCTGACCAGGTCAATTCGCCGGGTAGTCTAATATTCCACTAGCTCCTTTCCACTATTCCGCTGT